GTCCCTTCCAACCCAAACCCTTCTGTGATTTGATGTCTCTGTAACCAGGCTACGGGTAGAATTAAAAAATAACCAAAACACAAAACAAACCCCCAAAGTTTTCAAGGGCTGATCTTCAGTCTGAGATTAACATGCCGAAGTGGAAGAGACTCGACGCAGTCAGTGCCCCAGATCTGGGAAATCCACTCAAAGACAGCTGAGAGCCTGGAGAGCAGATCAGCTGCCCAGGCAGCTGCTGACTCCTCTGACCTGAGCTAAACTGCTTCCACACCGCTGCAGGGGAAGGCTGGACCTCCAGATCACCCAAATCTAGTTGCGTTATGGCCAGCCAGGCAGGAATTTTGCCATCACGTGAAAACTATTTGATTATCAGCTGATCTCCACACCACGGGAAGTAGAATTCCCACACGCCTGAAAATGGGAATACAAAGAAGGGTTTTCTTGTGCTTCATGGGGAAAATAAACGTCTTTTTGTATAAAAGAGACAACATCTATAAAGGATATGATACAACACAAAATGCAAGAACAGGTTTGGATTCAGGAAAGGGGTGCAGGTAATCCCAAATCAAAGCTACAATTGCAAAGAGACAAGAGATTGTGCAGATGATGAGGCGGCCGTCGATCAAACGGAAATTTTCGACGTACTTGTACTTCTCCAGGAGAACCTGTGGGAGAGACATGCAGCTGAGTTTAATTTGTGCTTTTCATACATTTTTACAAACTGCTTTTGGAAGGGATTTAGATAAAACAACCTCGATTATATGGGTAAACTGAGCAGAAACTTTATACAGGATGAATGTCTGCATCAGACATCGTAATAATTGCTGATACTCTAAGACCAAACACTGCTTTAGCCGTGGGAATCACAAGAGGTGATACAGAACCAGGATGGCTACCAGAACTTCACAATCAAACCAAAACATTTTACAGAGTTTTTAAACTAAATGTAGAAACCTAAGAAAACAGAGTGTTTCCCAAGAGGGAGAAATCAGCAGTGGCAGAACATACCTTTTTAGCAGAATCGTCCAAAGAATTTTTCACAGCTGAACCATCCCATTTGTCAATTTTTACCGGCTTGTCATCGATCTTCCACTGCAATGGAAACCAAATAGAGTTCAGAGAATTTGGCAAGGGTTAGCCTTTCATTTTAAAACGCTTGTTCCTGTCATAAGCACAAAGAGCGGAGGCAACCCAGAAAACACCTAACTCTTTGTGAAAACCTGACCGGAGACAGAGGGAATCCGGGGCCTGTTACACAGCTGTACCGCACCAAAAGTCACCCCAGCACCAACGTACCCATTACCCTTGCAGATTTAAGATTATTCATCTTGTCATGGACCGTGAAGATATTTGATGAAGTGACTTTTTACAGCAGTTTTATCCTAATTTTGATTCTGCGTTTGCTGCTCCTGCTGCCATCCACAGAAAGTGTCAGTTACGACTTAATTCTTGCCTTTGAATGTATTCACGCTTTTCAGCCAAGCTGTTGCAGACTTTTTGGAGGTTGATGGCAGGAGGAAAATTTCAAGGCACCCTTAACAATCTGAGGACAAGGGGAGAATATAACGGCACAAACAAGAAGCTTCAGTGCTCCAGAATGAAACCAAAAGACTCTGTCACTCTTCTATGTTCAGATTTTCCTCAGAAGCAGGTCCTTTGTCAATAACGTATCTCAGATACAACAGCTCAGCTTTTCAAAGGGGGTAATTTTCCTCTGAACTATATTATTTCTTGGTGACACTATTCCTTTTAGCCATGGTCGGACACATGAGTCTGAGCCTTGTGTATTTTAAGTCATCAGTTATTTCAAACAGTGGAGTAACCTGAGCTCAAATTTTAGCTGCCATTAGAAACAATTCTCAACTTCACTCGTGTTATTCCGGGTTCCCAGCCCCCTGAGCTGGAAGACAGGGACGGGGAGCGGAATAAAGCCCCCATAATGCAAGGGGAAATGGTTAGTGACCTGCTGCACCACGTAGACACACACAAGTCTATGGGGCTGGACAGGATCTACCCAGGGGTACTGAGGGAGCGGGTGGAAGCGCTCCCCAAGCCACTTTCAATCATTTATCTGCAGTCTTGGCTCACCGGGGAGGTCGCAGTGGACTGGAGGTAGCAATGTGACTCCCATCTACAAGAAAGGCTGGAAGGAGGATCTGGGGAACTACAGGCCTGCCAGGTGCCAGGAAAGGTTAGGGAGCAGATCATCTTCAGTTGGACTTGATGATCTTAAAGGTCTTTTCCAACCTTAACGATTCTATGATCTTGAGTGCTATCACAAGGCACATACAGGACACCCAGGTGATCAGGCCCAGCCAGCACGGGTTCATGAAAGGCAGGTCCTGCTCAACCAACCTGATCTCCTTCTGTGATAAGGTGACCTACCTAGTGGATGAGGGAAAGGCTGTGGATGACTGGATTAAAGCGTCTCCCACAGCATTCTCCTGGAGAAACTGGGAGCTCATGGCTTGGATGGGCGTACTCTTTGCTGGGTGAGGAACTGGATGGGTGGCTGACCCCAGAGAGTTGTGGTGAAGGGAGTTAAATCCAGCTGGTGGCCGGTCACAAGTGGTGCTCCCCACAGTTCGGTGCTGCGGCCAGTCCTGTTTAATATCTCTATCTACAATCTGGATGAGGGGATCAAGTGTCAGTTTGCAGATGACACCAAGTTGGGCGG